TGGCATTATTGTGTGATATGTAAGATGGCATTGTGTGATATGTAAGATGGCATTATTGTGTGATATGGAAGATGGCATTATTGTGTGATATGTAAAATGGCATTATTGTGTGATATGTAAGATGGCATTATTGTGTGATATGTAAGATGTTATTGTGTGATATGTAAGATGGCATTATTGTGTGATATGTAAGATGTTATTATGTGATATATAAGATGGCATTATTGTGTGATATGTAAGATGTTATTGTGTGATATGTAAGATGGCATTATTGTGTGATATGTAAGATGTTATTATGTGATATGTAAGATGGCATTACTGTGTGATTTGTAAGATGGCATTACTGTGTGATATGTAAGATGGCATTATTGTGTGATATGTAAGATGGCATTATTGTGTGATATGTAAGATGGCATTATTGTGTGATATGTAAGATGGTATTATTATGTGATATGTAAGATGGCATTATTGTGATATGCGAGATGGCATTATTGTGTGATATGTAAGATGGCATTATGTGATATGTAAGATGGCATTATTGTGTGATATGTAAGATGGCATTATTGTGTGATATGTAAGATGGTATTATTGTGTGATATGTAAGATGGCATTATTATGTGATATGTAAGATGGCATTATTGTGATATGTGAGATGGCATTATTGTGTATTCTGCTTGAACAAATTATAATGATAAGTTGTCTGATAAATATATATTATACTCTAAAAAAATAAAATTCTTAAAAAAATGTATGACTGAAATATGCTTAAAGTTATCCACATTAAATATGATATTCATTATACTACCAACTCATCCCTGAACTGAACTGAGATTTCACAAAATGATTCTACTCTTGTACATTTCATTTCAGATTCATCAATATTCAAAGCCATATGTATATAAAGACAAGGACATGATTGATAAATGAATTATATGAATATCAAGTGTTAAGAAGTGTTTTCAACTGAAGATGAAAATTGCAAGTTGATTAAACAAACTGATGTGAAACTCTAAATGTGGAAATGATGTGAAATGTTTTGCTTTCACTCAAAGGATAAAATGGCAAGTGACATGGAACAGCATAGTGGTCAAAAACGGCATCAGTGTGTACTCTGTGAGAAACGTTTTATTAGGCCAAGTGAGCTTAATATACATATGAGAACCCATACTGGTGAAAAACCATATCAGTGTGAACACTGTGAAAAAGTCTTCACCCGGAAAAACCATGTGACACGCCATATGATAACACACACTGGTGAGAAACCATATCAGTGTCACGAATGTGGGAAAAGTTTTGCTAGAAGTAGTGATCTCAACATGCACAGCTGGATACACAGAGATCGCAAGCCTCATCAATGTGAATATTGTGATAAAAGTTTTATTAGAAAAGGGGATCTGATCATACATTTGTGTACACATACTGGTGAGCGACCATACCAATGTGAAGAATGTGGGCGTAATTTTAATAGAAAAGATACGCTATCACGGCACATGACTACACATACTGGTAAAAAACCATATCAGTGTGAACATTGTGAAAACTATTTTGCAAGAAAAAGTAACCTGAAGTTGCATATAAGGATACATACTGATAAAATACCGTATCAATGTGATCATTGTGACAAGTGTTTCTCACTAAGACGTGATATGTCAAATCATGTAAAGACACATGGTGAAAAACCATTTCAATGTGAACATTGTCAGAAAAGATTTGCCAGGAAAAACGATTTTACGGTACACATGCGGACACATACTGATGAGAAACCATATCAATGTGAACTATGTAACCAATGTTTTGCTCAAAAGGGTCACCTGAATCATCATGTTGCAATGCACACTGGTGATAAACCATTTCATTGTGAACATTGTAACATGAGATTTACTAGGAAAAGTGCTCTACGCTTACACGCATGGACACATACTAGTAACAGACCATTTCAGTGTATGCAGTGTGAGAAAAGCTTTGCAAGAAACAGTTATCTGAAAATTCATTCCAGGGTTCACACCAATCAAAAACCCTATCAGTGTGAGCAGTGCAAAAAGAGTTTTTATCAAAAGTGTCATCTTAAACGACATTTAATGACACATAGTGATGAAAGACCATATCTATGTGATCAATGTGAAAAACAATTTACTCAAAAATGCCATCTGATGAGTCATATAAAGACACACACTGCCAAGAAGTCTCGTCGTCGTAAGAACAATCTTTCTGGAGTATGTAGTAAGAGTGTTATAAATCACACAACAAATGGTCAGCTCGCATCTGTATCTAGATTGTGCAACAATAAAGAATTATTGAGTTTACCTCAAGTATATCAGTGGAATAAAACAATTGAAAATGTAACACACGCCAACAGTACTAGGTTTGCTATCAATACTGTAAACCATAGTAGAGACATATGTGGACAGGATAATGCTAACACAGTGTTACAAAAATGTAGTGATTTTTCACCATTACTGAGTGTCATACATGACAGAAATAATCACCCAAATGTTACACTCTTTGGTATGATGCAATCTGAAAATCATTCCATCTCGTCACAGACATCAAATTCACTAATTACTTTCTCGGGTGAACCTGAGATTAGTCGTCATAGCTCCATGATATTGCTAATTACCAAAGTTGAAGAATTTTTGACAGAAAAAGAAGGAATAGAAACATTCCATGTTGTACGTTGGTGAAATGTACTCATTAGAAACACAGGTCATGTGTCAGTTCATAAATATTTTAAAATTTTCTCATCTAGTGAATCTATCAAATGAATTATAATCAAATGGAACAACTGTTTTGGTATATTTTAATTCAATTAGCTTGATTAGGATAACATATTTGCAATTTTAGAAGCACAACTCCAATAGAACGTACATACTGTATTCACTTTATTGGCAACACATCTTCAACGTGTAAACAAACAATTGCATGCGTTAATTGGATACTGTATGATCATTCACATGTGGCCTATTGTGACCATCAATACATCAGTCATTTATGTAAGTGCTTGTGAAAAAATGTTGTACCAATTAACCATTCAATTCTACTTGCAGTTGGTTGAAATAAATACACCTGCAGATATAACAATATATATAGTGTTGATGTAGATGAGGGACACAGAGTTTGGTTTTGGTCTTCTTTTTGAATATTCAGTGGTAATTGTTATTTTTAATGGCAAAACTAAAACCCTTGAAATATAGTGTCCTTAACCTACCCTAAATTCTAACCCTAATTTCTCCCTAAAAACTGTATAATCCTAAAGTATTGCAATCCTGAGTTCAATTTATAATGCTCCTCCTATGACAGGACTTTTACACGCTCTTATACCAATACTACACCAATGCAGTGGAAGTCTTTCACATCTCGGGTACATGGCTAACTTTGTGTCAGGCCCTATGTTTAACTACCAGTAGTTTTGGCTCATGTCACAAAAGATAGTTTTTTAATTCGCACAATTTACAGCTCCTTAACTGATATCTCAAGAACCACTCAACAAATTTCTGTAAAACTTGGTACTTACACTGAGTGCTCTGAAATAATCTGGTGACCTGATTAATTTTTGGCTTTATATCTTTGCTTATATTATTAGTTTTTATCTGAATATCAAATTAAATTTGCAGAATAATTAGCTAATTTTAGTTGTTCCATTGAAGTTTACTACAATGCATGCCAGAGCGATTTGTTATGTATTGGAATGAGCTGAGTTTCTGAGGAGTATTTGTTTTCAATAAATGCAGCCATGTTAATCTGAAATGGTGAGGTTTATTGTGGTTTCTTGCAGTTTTTTAATATTATATAGGGCCGCCATCTTGAATTTGGCATGAAACTTATCTCTTGTATAGTCTCATGCCGTATTCAAGATGGCAGCTCCCATATACTGTAAAATATTTTATTTTAGCTGGAATCAATTTTCACTAAAAAGACTTTTTGGGTATTTTGTATGGTATTTATTTTCACTGATTTTTGACGAGTTAATTCAACAACCACAGAACTATTTTTTGGGCATTCTCAGACTTAATTGTGTGCTATACACATGATGATGGTCAATTTTGATGAGTTAAGCGTAGCAAATGTATCTCTGTTATATTTTCTGTCTGGGACATTTGTATTTTGACATTGAACTATTAAAAAAAGAAATTCAAGCTCATATCAAATCATTCAAAATTCACACATTATGCGAGATCTTGCAGTGAGTGGAAAATCACATATTGCAGTTTTTCTTCTAAGCAAGACATGATCCAATGTTACACAGAAACAGTTTCTCAACAGTAACTATGCATGCTGAAATGCAAATGTTCATGGGTAGACACTGCTGCATGTCCAGGCGACTACTGCCCCCGCTTTAACTAACATAATCATTGTATGAGACGAGTTTATCAAAGATTCATTAATTATGGAATAGAACTTTATTGACTGTTTACACCTCACTTTCCCAACCATGAACGACGACTCTGACATGTGCAGTTAAAAATGATAGTATCGATATAAGGGCTGAGCACATTTGGGTATGTATTGTTAAGTTATCACATCTGGGTAAACACTGAACAATAGTATCACATAACCATATATGGCCATATATGTATCATGGTTTAGATATAAAAGAACACATGACCATATATTGTTATCTTGTACATTGGTCAAATCCCGCAATGTAAGCCAATTCATGTATGCAGCAAATTAAAATTTATGTAAGGTGACTAATTTATTTTTCTTATAAGAGGTTTTAGCAAAGATCCTTCAAACCAATTTTCAAATAAAACTTTTGAACCAGTCATTTTAAACATGTGCTTGAAGTTTTGACCAATTTTGCCAAAAATCCATAAAACAGATTTTTTTTTTTTTCTGGTGAGAATACTTACTACCTAATAGCCTACATGCAAAATGTCAAGTTGATTGATAAAAACACTCTTGATAAATATTGGGAAGTTTTTGCCAGAAAACAGCTTTGACCATTTATGCATCATGTATAATGGAAAACTGATCAGTTAAATAGCTTTTAAGAAACAACTTCCCCTAATCTTTTAAAAAATTCCAAAATGGCAGCTGAACCCTGCAACTAATCGAATTTATTGCATCTTCCCTGTAAGAAGCTTTGGTTATACATCCTAAGTACAAAATATCGTGGTGATCAGTTCAACAACTTATGAAAAACAAATGGCTAAAATTGTTATCATATTTTACGGAAATCCAAGACAATGGCCAAACTACACAACTGATAACATTATTTTATTTTCCTCATTAGAAATATATAAAATATCTAGGTAATGGGTAGAAATACTAATGAGATTCAAATACCTAAATTTGTATCCACTTTTGCCTGAAGTCAAAGATAGTGGCTATAAAGTCACTTGACTAATTAGAATTATTTTTTAGATGTGTAGAAATGCAATTTTTATCCCAACTGTGATTAAACCATTCTAAACAAATTTTAGAACAATGTGTTCAGTGGTTCTGGAGAATATTTTCAAGAGTTTTTTTTATTTTTTATAAGGCGAAAAGAGTCACATGACTGTTGAAGTTTTTATTGCCTATTAAAATGTATTACACAGATATATTGTATATGCCACAAAAGATTCTGATCGCCACGACCCTCAGAAAGTAGTTAAATGGCCACTTTTGGTTTAATTTCAATCCAATATAGCTTCCAAACCTGTGAATCAATTTTGAAAAATCAAGTGAACCAGTTCATATTAGCCTTTTTAGCTTGAATGGTTTTAGAATATTTTGTTAAGTGGTTTTCTAAAATAAGCCCACGAGAAGACGACAGAGGCTTAGACCCCTAAAGATGCATGTTCTGCAAATTCTGTAGTGGAACTTTGGAACTGATCAATTTTAACAGAAAAACTTGTGTGGTGATGCCAGGGAGCTTAGTCAATGACAATATGGTAATCAAAATACAAACTATTTATGGTGAAGAACTGTGCTTTAATCAATCATAAACACATCAGTTGTTTGCCACAATCAGTTTTCTATTCTGGGCTATAAGGCTCATGATGGAGAATTCAAGATATCATCACAAAATGAACAAATCTGAAAGAGGTACACATGTAGTACCTATATGTGTAATAACAAAATTAGAGATATTATCATGAAATGAACAAATCTGAAAGAGGTCTACGCAAGGTACATATACACCAAATATCAAAGCATTCAGACTTGTAGTTTTCAAGAAGTCGAAAAAAGTAAAAAAATTGTCACGAACGACCGAAAATCACTCATATGATAAGCTCCACTCGACAAAGTCGACAGCGGAGCTCAAAAGGGAGTTTACGAATAATGACATAATTCAGTGTATTGATCTATTTATAAGCTTTATTAATGTACAGCAAAGTGTCAAATCTACAAATTACATGATTTTACTTAACTATTAGAAGTACAAAATACTATATTACTTGAATGTTGATTATTATCGTTAGATGCTAATTAATCCCTACCTGCAATACACAATTTGTTATCAAAGCACTTTTTATTGAAACCATGATTGACCAATTGGGGTGCACAAAACTAAAGAATAATTTTGTATTCAATGTATGCAAACCAACTTTTTATTGGAGACATGTTGACATGTATCCAATGTTTGACCAATCATGGTGCATGATACTACTAAAACATAATTTTGTATTCAATGCTAGTAAAACAACTTTTCATTGATTCATATGTACCTAATTTGAGACCAATCACAGTGCATAATATTGTAGTCAATGCATGCACCCTTCTATACTATATTCAACCAATCAAGTTACATGACACTTCCTGATGTGAGAACTCATTTTGAATAATTAAAAACTAAGTAGAACATTAACCAATCAAATGTTGTGGTCTATACATTCAGTTCCAAGTAGCCAATCAACTGCCTTGATCAGTACATGCAAACTAATGCTATTGGTTATTTTTACCATGCATCTTGGTATTCTGATTGGTTTCAAATAAACCCAACATATTCACATTTAAAATTACAGATGTTCCTAGGATAAATAGAATACCACATTTTCTCTATTAGTACATATATATTTTTAAAACATAATTAAAATTTGTTAAATATTCTGCATAAATGCAGATATATCAAAAGTAGAAATACTCAAGCCAACAAACGCCATAATACTAACAGAGAAAATATGGTACAAGTTTTTAAACTGGAATTTTTATACAACCATCAATACCATAAATAGATTTTCATTTACCAAATATGGCTAATAATATGCATGCATAAATTATCACCAAACTTTGCATAGGGTTCATAGCACCAAGAGCCAAATGATTTCTAAGACTTTTCCCAACCTTTTCCCAAACTTTCTTGCATCTTTCCCAAGACATTTTTACCCTTAATTCAGGCCAACATAATCACCAAAGCTCATCAAATTTGTAAGTATATGGTAGTTCCCTGGGGAAATTTAAAGACTTTTCAAAGATTTTTTTCATTTTTCCCGTAATTTAAAGTCAACTCAAAAATTTTCCAGACCTCAAAAAATCCAAAGACTTTCAAAGGATTTTCCCAATGCTATGGACCCTGTTGCAGAGTATGCCGACTATAGTTGGTTTCTTGACCAGGCCAGTCATCAAATTGTAGGTTTTGTATCATATTTTAAAGTAGTTTGGAGTAAATATGATAGACGATCCAAATATTGAAATGGCAATTAGATGAAACGTTTAAAGTCAGTTTGGTTTGACATTTGCTGATTAACAAAAACTTGCATTTTTTCATTCTAAAATCATTCAATGGTTTTGACTATTACCTGAAATTTTTGATTGTTTGAATTTGCAATATGACTTTCAGTACATCACAACGTTAGTGATTTATTCAGCTTCCTACTCAAAGTCATGTTTGAATTTGCTTCCATTGCCAATTACTTTGGGTAACAATAATTTTGAACAAATCTAGGTGTATCATTAATCATCACATGCAATTCATACATATTCAAACCATTAAATATTTCACATATAGTTAAATGAATCTCTTGGAATACAACATTGAGGTGATACCACCAATATAATATAAATTATTGCCATTTTTGTTTATTTTATTTTGCAAGAATCAAATCATAATTAATTATGGTCATAATTTCATTCATAACTATTGTGATGAAATCAATATTATGTTTCTGTACCATTTGGTTACTATTTGAGGCACAAAACAGAAATTTAATGACTTTTTCCGACAAAGAAGTTGACAAATAGTTCAAATTTTTCTGCATAGTTCATAGATCAGTTAAGCAGCATACTCCTGACGCTGATCTATTAAATCACTGAGTACATGTACATCAATTAGTTTATGCATTAATACTACTCCCTCTTACTATCATTTTGTCCTGTCATAGGTCTACTGTTTCTATAATTTCAGTTTGGGACCGAATATAATTTGTTGATCTGGTTTTATTAATTACAATCAGGACTATTCTATGAAAGATGCCAAATGTAAACAAAAGGAGGTGAAAGTGTTGAAAATTGTACAAAACCAAGACACATTGCACAAAGCCATAATATAAATAACTACAGACCTATCAATAACTATAGTTTATGAGAAGAAATCAAGAAAACACTAGATTTGTACATTATGGAGAACAAATATTAACATTCCATTTGACTCGATGAATAAAACAGAAATTGCAGAGTCATTAAATATCATTTGTTCACTTTAAAATGCATTCCTGTCCATGCTTCATCAACATTTGAAATATTTTAGAACCATTTATTGCTAGTATTAGCATACTAACAAAGGTGAACTGTTGAGAATGAGTCTTTATCAGTTGGCAGCAACAATGCTAGTGAAACACTTAATACAATTAAAAATTAGAAGCAAACCAAAAATGAAAAAAAAAATTAGTTGAATGAATAATTTCAAATACAATTTCTGTGTAGTATACCTTGTTGTTTCAGTTGTTTCTGCTTGACTTTCCACCAAAACCATGAGCATAGATATCTTTGAATAAGCAATATTGAAAACTCACAAAAAGGTAAATTGAATAGGTTCAGTCACAAAATAACTACTAAATGATTGTACAGGGTATTTCTATATGACATGTCTGTGTGAGAATGAGGCCTAGAAAAAGAAACAGTATTGGCATGGAAAAACTTTTTTAAGGCCAAACATATATTTGAAATGCTTGATACTGAATCTTACCTGGGGTATACAAATATATTGGGTGTTGAAAGGTTATCCCCATCCCATTAACATCATATGATAGTTTATGCATATTCCCCTGTGTGAAATATCAAATTCAGTTACCCAGACCACCTAACTTCCTGATCATAATCACTGCTACTTTCAGGCACCTTAACTGATTATACATAATCACTGTTCTTTTTTTTTCAAACTCAATAACTACCTGAACAGTGTCATCTGCATTTAACAAATCATAATCAGTACTGTCAGAACTGATCTTAAGTTAATGAATCAGTAACTGAAAATGCTGCAATAACTACCTGAACAGTGTCATCTGCATTTAACAAATCATAATCAGTACTGTCAGAACTGATCTTAAGTTAATGAATCAGTAACTGAAAATGCTGCAAAAGCGTGATTAAGGTTTGAGAGAAAATCAAGATCAGAAATACACACCATAGAGGGCGCTCTACTCTACAAAAAACTAAATTTAATTTCTGCAGCAACCTACTAAATACATTTTTAAACTAATAAAATGTAACAAACTAAAAAAAAAATTATATAAATGTAAAATTGGTATTGCCATGGCAGCTGTTGCCATGTAAATACTGTTTCAAGTGTCAAAAAAGTAATACCAAAAAGCCAATATGTACTAGAATTTGGCAGCTGAAATAAGTGATTTGTCAAAGACTTTTATGAATTCTATAAATAAATAAAGTTGCAAACCTATGAAGAGAAAACTGTACTCTTACTAATTTCTCCTGCAAATATAATTTTGAAATTAAGACTGATCAATACAGATTTATGACAATTCTTGGAAGTTTCTGACACTTTATGCGTGCGTATTGCTATACAAAGTTATATACGGGGAGTAAATTGGGGTCAAAGATCAAATTTTGTAGATTAATTTGATATTACATTACCCTGACTGCCGAATGTCAGAACTATATTTTTAAAAATAAAAAAAAAATTCATGATTATATTAAGGCAGTTTTAAAAATGAATACAAGGGTAATAAAACGTGTTCTCACATAAATAGTCCTGCACATCCACTTCCAGTCCACTCACGTAAAACTGTATTGATCAACCTTAAAACTATTATAGGGAATATATGAAATAAATTATCACTTATAGTGGAAAACAAAATTGGTTTCCAAAACTGTCTCCATGGTGATAGTTTAAATATGTAAACGTGTGAAAGACTCTGAGTGAGAGGAAATAAAATGGATAAAGTGTTTTTTTTTTCGCACAAAAAATGGATTATACACATGTAAAATCAAAAAGCTGCAAGTCATTTCAGCAAATTTTGCTCAAAACAAGAATTGCTAAAATGAGAACAATCTTTCTGTGAAAATGGACACTTTAATTAGCGAAAATAACATGTTTTACAGTAAATTTTGTAAGCGCCCTCTAGAGACCATATACATGTACTGGATTTTTTTCTGGAATCACACAAAGTTTATTGTTTATTGTGTCATTTAAAGTCTACAGCATAAATAAAGTCAAACATTTACATCTTGGAAAGCATATCCAACAAAGGTGAGCGGTATCCTCAAATTCATCTAGATTCCAAAAATGAATGGCTGGTGGGATGTTGAAGGTGGTTGTGTAAAAGGAAATTGTCATTTTATCTAAAGTTAAACTAATGGTTTTGTATATTCTACTTCAAATATAATCATGCACCATATAAAACCCATTCTTGCATGTCGAGTGAAATGTCCAGGTGAGTCTCACTTGAAATTCTTTGCAACATTCAGAATACTTCATAACTGTATGTTTTTGTGACCATTATTAACAGTTTTCACCAGTCAGAACTCTTCATTTATTTAAACCACAATACTCAGAAGGATATTGCATGGTGACGGGTTGCTAGGTAACAGAATCCATGGTTCAACTGAGTGATAACTTAGTAACAGCACTCACGAGGGCATCATTCTCTTCCTGTAATCTATCTATTTCATTTTCTGCATCCACTAAGTACTGAAATTAAACAAAAGAAATTATTCACATTCCAAGCCCATAGGTTTCCCAGCATGCATTGTAATAAGTCAATAATAAAATGGAATGTTTTTAATCAATTGGCATTTGATGATGAGTTTGTAACATTGTATCCATTTCTCAGTACCATGAGTAGACCAAGTGTGAGTTTGGAAGATTTTTACAGCCTATGTGTATCTTCATTCATTTTTACAAACTTGAAACATTTCCAGCAAAACATGATATATTTGAAAGTCATGTGCGATCTAAACTGAATTGATCACACATTGTATTTGGGATAAAGAGAATTCAAGTTGTGAAATTATTCCATAAATTGCTTATTTTTGAGCAAGACAAATTTTAATGAGTCAGGAAACCCAACAAATTTTGTGGAATGTTTCATTCGGGATCTTCAGTCACCATCATAAAATTAAATCCTGCAGCATAAATGAAATATTTCTATCAATTCAAGTTGACTAAACTGATACCCAGAGATCCCAAACGTAATTTTTCCAAATACAGGAACCGCTTGATTAGAACATCTGGTTCACTCCCTGATTAACCCTTTGAGAACTCAATTGACAATTAATAACTGTTGTTATTTCAGCTATATTCATTGTTAGTAAATGGTAAAAAGTTAGTACTTTTTTTAGTCGTTCCATTTCTTCATGCATTCTGTTGACGGCCTGTTCAGATTCTGCTAGGCGTCTCGTTAGTCGTCGTGTTTCTCGACGTTCTCTGTCATACAGCTGCATGCAAAGCAAATAATATGATATTATCTTATCTATATTATAGATACAACACTATAAATAATGTATGAGAAACCATATAGTTTTGGGCTCACAATTAGTAGATATTTTAATACAGTTTTATCAGAAATAATTTTAAAGTTTTTAACTGCATTGATTGGATGGTACTTGGATGTAGATGTAGTTTACCCTTTGAGTGCCAGATATTTTTTTTGACCACATTTCATTGAAAATAATTGTACATTTTGTAAAACAGTCACTGAATTTCATCACCAGTTTTGGAATACAGACAGATTCAGATATTGTTTTTAGTTTTTGATCAAAAGGTTTGTCAGTTTTCATTAAGAGAGGGCATGGTGTCAAAAGTTGTCAATGTCACTGAAAGGGTTAATGTAAACGTAGATAAAGGTTAGGATACCATGTCTGCCAGATAATGATACCATGCTGATGTTGCTATTCTTTGGAATCTTAACAGAGTGCCACCAAGTGGCAAATATTGGAAATGTACAATGTATGTGTGTAAATCCTCGGGGCGTAGCTACGTCACAAGACGTTCCACGTTGCTAAGACGCGCACCACTGTACATGCATTTCTATGGGCTTTGTGCGTGCTGCTGTGGAATGCCGGTCGAGCCGGTGAAAATTCGAGAAAACAAAACAAACTCAACTTTGAAGTAATCCTGAACAACCAAATTTATATATGTTACACACGTAGGGCTAATATTGTTACACTGTTCAGGGGAGTCTCAACAACCATTCCAAAGTATGGTTTTCTGCGAGTTTTTGGCCTTTGTTTTCACAGCGAGGGTTGCCAGGCTGTGAAAATGCCCGGATGTCCGCCCCAAGGATATGGTGAAATAAATTACCAGGTTGTCAGTATGCCCTCTAACAGGACTGATTTTGTAAGAGTATTAGCCACAAGGGAATTCAAAAAATCAAATCAAAAAAGTTGAGTAATGGTAACTGCTGGAGCAAAGTACCGGTACATTGTATTCAACACGAAAAAATATAGATTGTACGTGGCTCTAGGAATCTTTTGAGGCATAAATTGTTTTCTTTTGGTTTTATACTTATTTTGCTTATAAAATATGAATTTCCTACCAAATGTTATGTTCTATCACAAGATAATTTGAAAGATCATTATAACAAGTATAATTTTTTTTGCGCCAGAAAATGAGCATAAGTAGTGGGCGTCATGAAAAATATTTGTGTGAGCTAGCAATGCTTCATTTTGAAGAGATTTGGTCAATTTTACAGGAAATCTGTGAATGTTGTGGCAAATTGGTTAGCGTAAATAAATCAGCATAGTGACATGTTTAGATCCCTGTATGCAGCTGATACTTGACAGTCAACAGGTGGAGAATAGCATCCTATGGAGGAAGACATAAACCTGTCTAATCTCATAAAAAACACAGCATCTTTCCCATCAACAAGATTTAACCACCCCTGGATGCATATCTGGATATATATATATATCTAAAGACTAAAGACAGAAACTAAATACTAGGCTTCACTCAAGGGATTATTTTTTTTACTTAAAATTAGTAACAACATTCTTTTCTATAAATTAGGCCACTTGATTGCAAAACTATGGTTTACAAGGGAAATTTCTCAACTGGTAGAATCTATAGAAAAACCATTTCTACTAAATATTCATGATATACATAATATGATTAAGGGTGATGTGGGAATTTGACTTATTTTTGATTCATGTATTTGTCTTCTAACTAATTATTTGTTTTTTTCCATGCATGGTTGGAGTCAATAACTTATAGTAAACTTGAGAGAAAGTCAACTGATGAAGGTGAATCCATGCAGAGTAGTGCTACCTCCCACTGCATAGCAATAATGCTTTCCATATCATTACTAATACTATGTCTAGAATGTTAAATTTCAGACATCAACAACAGTTGTTGCACATATGTAATAATTATACATGGGTGAAGACAGGATAACTGATTATAAATAAAGACTTTTAGTTCTGTTTTCTTGTTTCATTTGATTAATAAAACACACCTTTTTGTAGTTTTCTGTGGGACTATCTGGCGGCAGATACATTGTATGTAAATCGTTTGGATCCGTTGATATCAGCGATTGACACTGTCTTGTTCTCCATGCCCTTCGTGTCCGAGGTGATTGAACATCAGTTTGGGCATCATGTGTTCGACTTAATGACTGTGGTACATCAGCTAAAGTTAAAGCAGTCAGGCTATTCTTTGCTTCTGGCCCAGCTGATATATCTCCAGCCTCCGTGATATTAGAAGTTTCTTCGGTTTCAATTGTTTCCTCTTTATCTTTCTCCATCTGAATTGCATTTAACTTTTCTTTACTATCTACCATGTTTGTTTGTTCGTTATTATTGTCCTCCAGTGACTGTTCAAACCCAAGAGACTTGTCAGATTCTTTTTCAAGATGTTTAACTGGACTGTCATCCTCTTTTTCAAGATGTTCAACTGGACTGTCATCCTCTTTTGCAAGATGTTCCAATTGCTTGTCAGAATCATTTTCACGTTTTCCGAGAGGCTTGTCAGAATCTTTTTCAAGTTTATCTGTCTCCTGTGTTGTTGTTACTATGGAAACATCTGGTGATATTACTATGGACACATCTGATGTTCCCATAGAAACATCAGATGATGTTACCATGGAAATGTCAGGTGATGTTATTATGGGAACATCTAAGTTAGTAGTGGGAACATCATGCGAACTACAAACAAAACACAAGGGTTTTTAGTATATGTTGAAAGTTTTGAAAGTCAACCATATTGAATTATGTTAGTCTGGAGCTGCTGACCATTTATTTATTTCGATTGTTCAAATATACAGTATAGCTCAAGAGATTCAGATTACAATAACTCATAATGGTTGCAAAAACTGAATATTATTATTAATATTACATGCAGATGACATAAATCATAAACCATGGATATTTTTTAAAGTTATTGCAGCGAGCATTCCAATCTTGTGTAAACATTGTATTTTGGGACCCATACACGCAAGACAACAAATAAGGTATTTGTTTTGTTTTCAAGAAACAATGAAGATGTGAACTTACCGACAACTAGATTTGTGCGATGATATACTACCCTGGAAACAAAACAAAATAATATAGATGGATAAGCAAAATTTTCAGTGGACATGTTTTGTTTAATTATTTTCAATAAGGAGTCCATAGATCTGTTTTGGCAGTGCATTATGGAGGGAATCTGAAAGCAAAGAAACTTGTTGTTTCTAAGGTAACAAACCACATCAGATATGAATTACTTTTTATTTACCATAGTTCAATTTTTAATTGAATGCTTAATTTGGTTAAATACACATGTTTTTATTCAAATATCTTTAATATTGTTACCATTTTAAAGCACAGGGCTGTCACCTGTGGTTTCACAGGAATTGAGTCCCAAGCGACGATAAAAACATGCGCTAAAAAATGCAAAGGGTCATGGGTAGATGCTTGTTTGTAAACAACAACACACTATGGCTATCTAACGCACGTGCAGGTGACAACTCCCCTACTTTATGCATCACCTGATGAAAACCAAACAGGTAGCTGATATGAATCCAGCTGATATGCTAACAAATAATTAAAAATCTTTATATATTTTTTTTTTCCTGAAAAGCGATGCTTCTAAAAAAAGTCTTTGATCTGAACATTTTATACCAAAGTTGTTGAAGGTTACATTTACGTATATTGTCCATTCCTTGAACCTTGACATACTGAGTTGTACCACCTGTTTACATCGCCATGGCAACAATGACAAGCACAGATGAACAAACCTTCTCAATGACGTCATAACACATACAGAATTACACCACATAGGGCTTACAAAAACACAACTGTCACGCTATTCTATAAATTCACTTCATTATCAGGATTAATTGGCAGACTTATTATTTATTTGTTGTACTAGATTTACCGCTAGTAGTGGACAGATTAGAGAATGGAGTACATCATTGTGTATGTACCCTGGATAGGCTAATTGTTTGTACTCAACCGTAACAAACCAAATAAAGTTCCTGACTATGAGTTCAAAAGTTGACACCGTTCATTTCAATGTTGTCATATCTATAAGTTATTTGTCTCCAAAAAAATTGAACCATTTAGGAATCTTAATCAAACTTATCAATATTTTGGTATAAAATGTTCATACTATTCAGGAAAAAATCTCAAAATTGTTTGTGCACACATTTTATTTAGTTTTGCAGTTATTGTCACTTGGTTGCATCTAGTAAAAATTGGAATGTCATAAATGTAATTGATTCACCTGTTCTTAACCTCATGGTTGACATTTGACCCATCCACTGTTTGTATGTATTAAACTATAGTATTGTTTTATTTTATTGTGTGACCATAATTAGTTTCTTCAAGAAAATAAATTGTTATTTTTCTTCTGGTCCTGCAAGGAACACCGCCCTCTATCTGCTACATGGCTGTGTGAGCTTACACATTGTAAAATCAAATTAATGGTGAAATATCATTAACAGATTTTGTAATTCATCATCTACTACTTAATTACAGTCTCCTTTATTTCATTTTGATATTAAATAATTTATTTTCTAACCTCACTGTTTAACAAACCAGATGTAAATTTTTTTTACTTAAATCAGCACAAATTAAGAAAACGGGTCCCAATTAGTAAAAGAGAAGGTTCCCATGAGTTACACATTGCGAGTACAAATCATGCTTGCTTAGAGAGAAAAATCAATATAATCCTGCAGCTTTAGAACTAATGACAGTTTCAGACCCTCTGGGTAACTAACACATGACAAATACCAATTAATATGCGTATATTCCCAGCTAATATTAATACATCGCCATGGAAATAGTAAGTGTTCATCATTTATTGGGTTTGAAAAAAATCAATCAAATAGGGACATTTCCCATAGAGGGCAGTATAACAAATTTCAAATAACCTTTGTTTGGGCAAATATTGATTTTCTCTCTTCAGGAACATAAATGTTATTTTACTACTTTTGCAAGATTGTTTGTTATTATAAATACTATACTTTCTGACATGTTGCTATATAAAGTATTGGCACGTTGAACATCTGTTATAACACTCAAGTAAATCGTTTAACATGAACAGCAAATCTAGTTGAACACAATTTATATTACAGGATGTACTTTGAATTGTATTTCCACTTAAATGTGGAGGTTGTTTTATGACTCTCTTAAATGTTCATTGAGTCAGATGAGTAGAGCTGCATGTGAAGTCATTGGAGTCAGGCCAAAGACATACTTATAATAGACCAGACTTGACATATATATGAACACATATCAAGACAATGTAAGTGGGGTGAAAAGGGTTCAGTTTTTTTATCCATTTCTATTCACTGAGACAACTGTCAAGACAAGCATCACAACTGAAGGATAACAAAAATCCACAATGATACGGTCTTTTAGGAAATATACAAGGTCAGGAATATAAATTAACATTTTTTAAATTCAAATTCAGTTAATAACTTTTCCCAGAATGCAACAACAACAACAACAACAACATACAAGTGCCTGGAAATTGATCTGCCTTTCATTGTTGTTTTGTGATCATCTATATAATTCATTTCTATCAACAAATCAGCAAAAATTGTTGTCCAAACCCTTCTCCACCCTGACAGAAATTCATTTGTTTTATCTCAAACACTTTCTTATTATAATAAATTTCATTTAACTGTAGCAGACATAATTCAACAAGTTCAATGTCTGCCATGGAAAAACAATTTGAAAGGAAGAATTTCAAAAAATATTAAAACTTATGATATTATGTCTCTAGAAAGAATGGCTATCAATTTTTGTTGTGGTAGGAAATGGAATGGATGGAGTTTATAGTACATGTGCCTGTTTAAGACAAATTCCAAAATGATTTTGCCCCACTTTGCAATAATTATTTAGTAAAAGTTATTTGTCAAATAGACCTCACAACTACAAATAGAAGTATTTTATGATAATTGAATATTTTATGACAGTATAAAAATTATAATTATCAGAACATCAAGATATTGGCAATAGTTTGTAAAGTTGAATCAGGAGGAACACTTGTATTTATCTGATAATTATTTGTATATTTATCTAATAGTTATTATTCACATAGAGACCCAAGTTTTGTGGTACTCGAACAATTTAAATCATACAACCTGGACATACTTCCAGCTCGTATGTAGGTCATTTTATGAAATTACTGAAAATGGTAAATATGTCAAGGTTGTGTGTTATTAAGTAAAAGATCAATTTTTAGTTTTATAAAATGCCGGTTGAATGATTAGAGTGCCCTCAAAAAAGTGCATCAAGAAGAAATAACCCCAAGAATTGGTTACAAAATGCCAGTATTTGGACCTGATGAATTGGGCATTAACAAATGTAATGTGTAAATATGTGCATTCTATATGTATAAAGTTTGAAAGTAGTCAGTCTAGACATGACAGAGCTATGACTCCAAAACTACATTCATGAAACAATGTGGACAAGTTGGCCACTGAAATCAAAATGACATACTGACATGTAAAAGTATTTTACAGTATATCAAAGTATCATATCTTTCTATGTAAATACCAAATTTGAATTTGATGAAAGTCCACGATAACTTGTATCAGGATTGCAAATATGCAATTGATTTTTGACACTGAAATGGCCACAAGTTGTTCATCTTTGTGAGGAATATTAAGCCAAATGGTGTGCTCTAAAA